ATAATAGCAGGGGGAAAAGAACACACGCACACAAAAAAATTTTTCCAACACCTAATTCAAGAAGGTCTATTTTAAAATATTATATTTGAACATGACAATTTGTAGACATCAGTAAAGATCTTTGCCTCAAGTTCTTTTCTTTGTTTCCCTTTTCTTTATGTAGTTAAATCAGCAATGATAAATGTCTACAGACAAAATTATCTTACATCAAACAAATATTGACATAACTTCTAAGGTCAGTTGCTGCAAGGCCAGGATTTAAAAACAAATTAAATTTGATATATACCCTTTCAAAGGTCAGTTAGAAAGGTATACGCTGCACCCATTGTACAATGCAGCCCCCAGGGAGGCAAATATATTGAATACTGCAAGGAGACATTGCAATAATGAAGATAATTATGGTAATAGGTAGGTAGGTAATAGGGGCTTAATTAGATTAGAACAAGCATGTTATTTAGAGAAAAAGAAATCACAGTGTATTAAATTAAAAGTAAATTACAACAAGTCAGGTCAGTATTTATTTCAAGTTGATAGTTAACACGCCTTATTGTATCTTTAAAGGGATTGAGATGTTCCAGCAAAAGGCTGTAAAAGTGTTTCATTTCCTCCAGCACAGTCCAGTGTCATTGCATATGAAGGTCCTCTCTCTCCCAGCCACTCTGATAGCAGCTGTGCACACACTTAATTTCCTGATTTTCCTTTCTGATCTCAGTAATTTTCAATAGTAGAAGTGAGATATCATGAATCCTTTGTTATTACTTGAGTAGCTTCAGGAATAAATAAGTGTCCATGCCCAAAGCGTGCCCTGACTGGAAGGGAAGAATTTCTATGAGATGAGCGGACTGAGGAGCGAGCAGGGCAATTCTGAAGATGGTTATAGAATCATAGAATCGTAGAATGTTTTGGGTTGGAAGGGACCCCTAGAGGCCATCTAGTCCAACCCCCCCGCAGGAGCAGGGACACCGCTAACCAGATCAGGCTGCTCAGAGCCCGGTCCAACCTGGCCTTGAATGTTTCCAGGGATGGGGCCTCCACTACCTCTCTGGGCAACCTGTTCCAGGGTTTCACCACCCTCATTGTAAAGAACTTCTTCCTTATATCCAGTCTAAACCTACCCTGGTTTAGTTTAAAACCATTACCCCTTGTCTTGTTAGCGCCCACATGAGCTGGTACGCTGTGCTGCAATGTGCAGCTTTGTCACTAGAAAAAGCAACCCTCACCTTCCCTCAGACAAATGTTCCCAACACTTCTTTTCACTGAATTATTCCTGTTTAAAATATTTACTGCCTTAAAAATGTGTTTCTGCCCAGAAGTCACAATGTAATCCACAGTGCTACTGCTCTGCCCTGCCACATGACTCCAAACCATGAACAAAAAAAGCAAGCGAGGTAGAAAAAGATTGCCTAAAATTTTGTTGTTCTGCACCCTGGACAGCAATTTCTTTTGGAGGGATTCTGACTTATTAGCATCCTGTGGCCCTTTGCATAGGTGAAGCTAACTTTATGAGATGCATGGCGGTGTGGCAGAGTAAAACAGGAGTGAAAAACAACGCATGCTACAGGGTATACCTTTAACGTGTAAATACCAATGGCTGTGCTGTCATGGCATCATTTAGTTTACAAGAGTGACTTTCACTGCCAGTTCTCTCTAGCGAACACCTTTTACTCTGCAGGTAGCACAGCTTAGGGTTAAGACAGTCAACAATATCTGTGCTGTCATGCAAGTGCTTGACTTAACAAATACCTTCATCAGGCAATGTAGGGATGCCCTCACAGTCTTGTCCTGTTTTCTCAGCCAGCCAGCCAGCAGCCATTAAGAAAAAAACATGACAGTTCCAATTCTCTGTAAGGTAATATGGAATGGTGATAGTTCAGACACACACGCTGTCCTTCCATGGCTCCTCTTACAAAGGTCACTGAAAACACTTTTAAAAATGAGGGTGACTCTCACTATTTCTTTGAAACAACAGTAGTCCCCAATAGTTCCCCAGAGAGTAGTCCAGTATTGCTAATGGAAATTCTGTAAGCTCTAAATTAGCTACTGTCTTCTAATTATTTTTTTTTTAATTATTATTAAATTGCCTTACAGCCCTAAGCCACTTGACCGGTTCTGAAAATAAGATACTTTACTGTTCACGAGTGAAGTGACTAACTCCTGCCATCTAGAGGGCGGTTTCTGGAACATCATCGAGGCAGGTACAATTTCACAGGATAAAATAAAACAACTGCTTAAAAGCCATTTAAGTGAGACTAGGATAAAAACTTTGGTGTCTGCCTCTCTCCTTGGGGTTTTTCTAGATTTTTCCCTCTTTTTCACTCATGTGTTTGTTAATGTAAAAACGCCCATTCAAATGAGAAGGCAATCGTCACATGCTCCACTCATTCATGGAAGTAGATTAGCTGTCTAGGATACTTATTCTAAAATAGATTAAAACTTTGTTGGTGTTTTTTTCCAATGCTATATCATTTATTCTCATCATGTTCTTCCATCCATGGCTGCCTAAAACAGACTAGAATGGTCACCATCAGAATAAAAGAATATTAATGATTAATGGTATTTGTTAAGAAAAGTGAGAATGACACACAAAAGCTCTAAGGTCTCACAAAAGACCATATTTTCTACTTAGGTTGTTACTTAAATAGCATGTAGCCATGGGCACTGACAACTGTTAAAAACTACTTCTCCACACACTTTCTTACAAAGGAGAAATGTCCAGTTAAGTGATCATCATGAATTTTTGTCTTAAACAATAATGCTGTTTTCTGTGTGTCCCACCAACCCGGTGGGAAGATTACATCTTGGAGGAAAACCATGACAAGCAAACAATTTGTTATGGGAGATACAAGCCTGGCCTCACAAAAATGACAAGAGTCTTCCCAGCAAGGCAGTGGTGGCCAGTGAATACCTGCCTCTCTCATTAAGCCAAAATCACATTCCATAACTAGCAGCCAACTTTTGGGAAGAAGAGCATGACCAAGTACCATGTGAGGCAATACAACCACCCCACCTGAGTGAATGGATGATCAAAGCATGCAAGAAGAAAAACAGTGCCCTAAGACTTATTTATAAGAAATGTGTATCAAACCCTTCCTGGGCCAAAGACTATGAAAAACACTGGAATGCAACTGCTCCATGATCCTTGCACTCATCTTCATTTAAATATACAATACATCAACTAATTATTTTCACAAAGGGTTTTCTAGGCGATATGCACAAGAGCAATAAATATGCTCATAGAAAGAACTTTTTATATTAAAATGAATCAAAGACATCCTTACATTTCTACTTGTGTTGTATGCCATTTACAAAGAAAAGTTATGCAAGGGCTCATTGTACATACAAAGAAAAAGGAGCAGCAAGTCCACACAGCTGTCTTTGCAGTACGCTTCACACCCCTTCACACCTCACGTAGTATCTTTCATGCATGCCAACCAAACCAAGCTCCAGAGCTCGCAGCTCTTGCAGAACTCCAGCAAGCACCACTAGGTTACAGACCTCTAGGTGGCTGAGTTGGGAAACGAGCAGAAATTGCTGAGAAAGAGACTGAACTCTCTTTCTGAAAGGCAAGTCAGTCTGTGACAAAGTATGACTTGCATAACCTCAGGCAAGACAAAGCTGTGTACTTTTTTTTCTTTTATGGCCCAGATATTATTTCCCTTTCTAAGCTACATTGTATTCCTGCCATTAAGATCAAACAATACTTTGAAAGCAGATGGAGCCACTGAGGGAAGATTTCAGAGGTAACTTTTCAGGTGCCAACCCTAATCAATTACAATCACAACTAATTATTGCAATTACTATGCCCTAACATTTGGTCGAGTGAAGGTTGTGGGGCAATTGCCATAAAAGCAAACAAATGTGAGGATGGAACCACCACTGAACAGTAACATCCATGCAAACAGCTTCCAAAAACTTTTTCAATGATTTTCCAACCACAGTGAAACTGACAGCATATTTTAAGTGAGGAGAAAGATAACCTTAATTAGGACCCTCAAAATAACATTGAAAGATTTTTTTTCCCTAATTCTCTTCAGCACACAGACATTCACGTTCAGATAGCAGTTTTTGGTTTTTTTTTTTTTGGGGGG